GCACACAGATGCATAGACTCATATCTAGAGCTCCTAAATTGAGTATGCTGATATTGCTTGGGCTAACTGCACTCTGATGGGTATTCTATTAAATTAATCCTTGGTTTGTTACTGTAGACTTATTATTCATGACAGGTATTTCCACTATGGTAAATTTCTTAAATAGTTTTGTTCAGGTACCTGTAAAAGGCTTCGAAATCAAGAATTCAGAGATATTATCTTGGGCATTTTGTGACAGCAGCAAGCCTGGGCGTCGTGGCCCTTCAGGCTCTGGGTACATGCTCATAAGCCATGTTGTTTCTTCAACTCCCATTTTTTTCTGTTTTAATATTTGTTTGTATTTTATCCAGTGAATGTTGGGTGTTGCATTCAACAGCTGAGTATGCTGAAAATGTGATAAAGCAAACTGGACTGGAGAAACCCACAGATGACACTTTAGCTATGGTAGCAAAGGAATTACTTCAAGAATTCAGGAAAACAGGATTGCCTCTCCCTCAGCCATTCTTCATGAAAGCTCATAGATGGTGCGTATTATCGAGAGAGAGAGAGAGAGATGGTGTTGGATTCTTCCCCAATCCTGTAGTTTTGTACTTTTATTCTGAAAAAAGTGTTGGTGTTCGCTTCTTTCTCAATCGTGAAGTTTTATACTTTTATTCTGAAAAAATAATTGGGTGAAAAGTGACAATAGCCATTTTTTGCACCTCTAGAGGGAGAGGGAGAGGGAGAGGGAGAGAGAGATATGGTGTTGGATTCTTCCCCAATCCTGTAATTTTATACTTTTATGATGAAAAAAGTGTTGGGGTTCGCTTCTTTCTCAATTGTGTAGTTTTATACTTTTATTCTGAAAAAATAATTAGGTGAAAAGTGAAAATAGCCATTTTTTGCACCTCTCATGTGCCTTGAGGGACAAATATGCTTTTGTTTGTAATATTTTCGAGTAATGAATAATTTATTTAAGATCTTAAGAAGCCTCTTTGATTTTATTGGAAATACGCTTGTTTCAATCTTCAAAGTACCCGTATCTCTTTGCATTCATGCTTGCTCTACAACTGCATAAGACCTTAGAGCTTCATGACGGACCTAGTACAATGCTGAATGCCTTAAATTGCAGGGGTAGTGCTTTTCCGGCTGCTGCTGTTGCTGGAGATGAGAAGTGTTTATGGGATGAGGAGAAGAGGTTGGCCTTTTGTGGAGACTTTTGTGTCAGTCCAAGTATTGAGGGTGCCATACTGAGTGGATTGAAAGCTGCTAGAAAGCTTCTTGCTTCTTCCGGAATTGATCAGTAAGAGTTCAATAGTAAATGCGTTACTGATTTCTATTGATTTGGATGAAGTCAAATGAAGAATGATAATTTTATCTGAGGAATCAACACACACAAAACACGTGCACAAACACACAGTGGAGTTGCAGACCTTGCTACACTACCAAATGGGGTTGCTGGGGTTCTTTTCTCTCCCTCTCTAAGTGGGTAGATAACTGATATGCCCGTAGTATTGGATTAGAGCATAGCAGGTCTCTCTCTCTCTCTCTCAGAGTGAGGTGGAGCCACTTCTATATGTCCCTTAGAAATATTGGCAGAGCTGCAGCAAGTCTGTCTCTTTCTCTCTCTCTCTCTGTGAGTTAGAGCTACTTCTATATGCCCCTTAGAAGTGGCATGGCTGCAGCAAGTCTCTCTCTCTCTCTCTCTCTCAGTGAGGAAGAGTCACTTCTATATGCCCC